CTGGTCCAGGCGGCCCAGGGCGGTGGTGGAGTCCCCACCCCTGGAGGGGTTTCCAAGCTGTGGAGATGTGGGGTGAGTGACACGGGGCAGTGGGGACCTGGCAGTGCTGGGGGATGGTTGGACTCCAGGATCATTCAGATCTCTCCCAGCCCAAAGGCTTTAACCCTGGTGGTGGAGCTGGGGGCTGTGCTGATGGGGACACCCCTCTGGGCTCTGAGGGAGGCTGGGGAGGGCGGTGACACCCGTGGGCACCGCGGGGGCTGTGGCAGAGCTGCCCCCCTGTGCCCTTTGTGCCATCTCTCTGCTGCTCCGTTCCCCAGAGCAAACTCCTGTCTGCCCAGCAGCATCACGAGCACGTTTCCCTTCACCCCACTGCCTCCAGCTCCGGGGTCTCCCCTGGCTGGGCCACCCCCCTGCAGCCCCGGGGGGCTCACAGGGTGCTCCTGCCCTGCCCTGGGGCGGGTGGGGTGTGACAAGGGGACAGCCCCAGGCCCGGAGGTGTGAGAAGGGGCCGGGGAGGTGCTGAGGGGCAGAGCTGAGTCACTGCTGCCTGCACAGACTTCCAGCCACCTTCATGTCTTATTAATCAGCACAGAGCGTGCCACTAACGAGCTCTGCTGGGGGGGGGATGTCATTAACCCCCCCATCCTCACCCAGGCTGGTGTCTGGAGCCACTGGAGCTCCCCCAGGCCCCTCAAACAGTCCCACGATGGGTTTTTTGTGACGTGGGCGAGTCCATGTCCCTTCCAACCTCTCTTTGCCACTTGAATTTTCCCTCTTGGGCAGAACCCTTGTTCTGGTGGGGCTGGGAGGAGGATTTTCCTGCTGCCCTCGTGGGCTGACTGTAAATACCCCACTAGTCAAATGTGTGGCCGTCAGATTATGATTTTTTTGCCTTTATTTTTAAACTATTCCATGTTTGATACTGTCTATAATAAATTTGCAGAATTCAGAGGGTTATAACTTCATTCCTCCTGATTCGTGCAGAGCTCATCGAGCTGCACCAGTGGGACCTTGGGTCGCTGGTGTGGAGCTTTTGAGGTCTGTGAGGGGTGACAGTGTCCCCCAAAAGTCCCCTCCCACCTTCCCCGGGGCCACCTCTAGACCCTGGCAATAATTTACCCCACGCCTCAGGCTTGTTGAAATATAGTTTTATTGCATTTCTGCAGGTTTTACAAAAATATGACAAAATAAATTAAAAAGAAATAAATAACCCCCTTCGTTTCTTTTAATTTCCAAAGAAATGGAACACAGCAAGGGAAAAATGAAACGAAACCGACTGAAGCTCTTCCCTCCTTTGTCCAGTAACTGCCCCGAAGAGTGAGATACGAGAGGCAGCTGCTTGTAGAAAGACTTTTAGAGAGAGAAATGTTTAA